TCTTTTTGGGTTGGAATCCAATCAATTGGGCCCGAAGCTTGCGGTGATTGATAACCTAGTGGATACTAAAACTTGCACTTCAAGCCAAAATACCCCAACTGTGCAAGATATACTAGGACAGTTTAGGTGTGCTAGCAACTAAGCAACAGTTTCTTTGTTTTATTTCAAAGTTAAAAGAGTGCCGATTAATGGCTGTGTAAAAGAATGTAAACGGCACAACTGGTGAGTTCTACACAGTAATGGAAAGGGGCGTTACCATGGTCATGCGAATGTGTACTGCCTTTACTACGTGTGCTTTTTCTCTAGGGTCCAGGCGGTAAGGTCAACATAAGGACACTGTAATACGTACACCCATCTGAAATTTAAATCAAGGTTACCCGACTTATTGGAGTGTATATTTCCGATTCCACACAATACCGCAAATCTTGCCGAATCTTCACACTATTCAACATGGCTGATGAGACACGTCCGAGCGAGTCCAAAAATATGAAACCTCTCAACCACTAAAGAACTGTAGGTATCCTTCAGCCTCGCTTCAGCACTTAATTATACCCTGAACGTTTTTTCCTATTTGTAAGGTTTCTTAAAAAATAGAATTCATAAAACTGCATCGCTTGCCATATAGGTTTGAATGACGCGTTCACGTTTTATATTAATAGTTTCGACGAAATGCAATTTAAATATAACCAAATTGAAAATGCCGGGGGAATTTCTTGGTATACGGTTTCTGTATTTGAAGGACACCATCCTAAGGAGAGTCCAAGACATTTCGAAACATGTTGGAAGATACAGTGTACTATTTATGTACAAATAATCAAAAAACTGCAGTCTGCCAGAGGTTCAGACTCACGTAGATTGCAAATAATGCGGAGTCCAGAACGATTGTCGGCCAAGCTATTTGGGAAACCAAATAGGTCACTCCCAATCCAAGATTTTCAGGGTTCTGCTTCCCAATAAAATCATCCTATAACATAGAAAAATGTATAATTCTTCATTTATCCATTCCACTGACCATAAAAATATAAAATCATTATCATTTACTCATATTCCCTAACATTAATCGACCCAGCAACATGTAAGAAATATTGCTTGAGTTCACTAAACTGTCTATATTTGTGACTCCGCTTCACGTATTGGTAACTTCGGTCAGTCAATAACGTCGCCAACAAGAAGCCGACAAAGAGCAGTGTTATTTCACCCGTCGTCGGCAATGATGGGGATGGGAATGGACCTTGATACTCCAGACCGATGCATGCAATTTCTATGTCGCTCATTGGCGTTCGGGTCAGGCGTAGAGGAGGTCCACTCTTATTGACCCAAACAAAGACTAGTGTATCATTCATATTGGCTTGTTCACTCATTCTGTATGCAATCCCTTGGGCTTTTTATATCTGCAGCAAATTGTTCACGGAAAAAATATCCAATCGCAATGTGCATCTGTTTCACCTCAAATGTCGTTGAATAACTAACGAAAATCCCTGTTTCTAGGGATGGACTACGTTAGGAGAAAGCTTCCTGCGTGTTAAACCACCAGAAATCAGGGAGTAACACGTGCCACCTAAATGGTAGCGTGTCCCCCAATTAAACGTTAAGGGACCAATTTAAAAAAAGTAGAGGAAAATGCACTAACCCCGGGTACGGAATTCGTATTTTTTGTCAGGAATTGTGATAATTATGCCATTAGCATGCGTCTAGAGCGCCACGGATTTTTTTCCTTTTCAGACGGTAGTTGGGATTTAATAAGAAAAATTGAAAGTGTAGACATAGTGCCACGTCCTGATTTGAATATCCACAAATTTTCAACAAATTTGTTTATTTAGGAAGAATCCGTTTAAATATATGACGTGGCAAAGCTCTTGAATCCTTCCCAGAGACATAGCGAACTGTCAGATTTTCTTTCGCGAAAGGGCTTTGTCGGAGATTAACGTACCTTGCTTTGGATAGAATCCTGTGATCTACTTAGCAGCTAGAAGTCCACAGACTTCAGATATTTGCTTAAAGATGCAACCACATCCCGAGGAGCTAATGCTTTTGGGGCCCATGGGTGCTTTTACAGCAATACTTGTGATGAAAATACATAAAACCATCACAAAATGAAATAAATCTTAATGTGAGTGAATGAGATGTTGGTTATTTTGATGACTTCTGGGAATCTGAGGGCATTTCTTATCCGATTACTCGTTCTTATCTAACTCAGCTGACATCACAACGGACTTGAAAATGGATAAACGGAGATAACAAAGATTTTGGATGGGAAAGCAGTCTGGTAGGGATTCCCATTATATTTCGGGCAGTGTTTTTGTTCTCCACAACCTTTCTTGTCTATGCAAATTATTCATGCACATCAACGAAATTAGAGTCTATAGGCTGCCTTATTATTGATATTGTTTGAATTTGATGCTCAGAATGATGTTCGAGTCAGAATACCCATTTATGGTGCTTTTTAAAGAGAGTACTTATTGTGGACCATATGTTAATTAATCTTACGCAGATTAATAACGGAATTTTATCGTGGGCATCCATTTTTCCGAAAATATAATTCAAAGACTATCTTCCTAAGAAAAAGTGTTATTATACTGGCTTCTTTTGTAAATTCTCTAGGGATATACCCTACTTTTAACATTTAAATACGTACACTGAACAGAATGTCAGTCTATGAAAATAATTGCAACATTGCACTAGGCGAAGATCACGAGCTGAGCATAATTTATTGACGTCATAAATTTCGTGACCTCTTAATCACCTGCAAATGGCCACTGCCTGTTAATATAGTAAATGAACGAAAACTGGCCAAACACATAGAAAAGACTGCTTTTTATAGACGATACGTGGGTGACATTTTTGTCATAGTCGAAAACCCTAAGGAGGGAGAACTGCTTTTTAAAGCTATGAACGAGGCACATGCAAAGATTTGGTTTACGATCGAGCATGAGAAAGAAGACACACACTGGCTTTCCTAGAATTGCTTATCCACAGGCGCGCAGATGGTTCCATTCAAAGGTCCATCTATCGGAA